GCACCACCTACATACACTGTTTCGGGTGCACATCCAAGCAACAACCCCGCACCCCCTTTTTAACATTGACGACAGAGGTCTTGGGGCGGTGCAAGATTTATGTCATTGGAACGATTTTGTCAAGCCCCGTGTTCATAGCAATGTTAAGAAGGGGGCGCGGGGTGAAGCTTTATAACATTGTCGAAAAGCGGTGCAAGATTTCCTCCATCCACAGTAGTAGTAGTAGTAGTAGTAGTAGTAGTACTACTACTACTACTACTACTACTAGTACTAGTACTAGTACGAGTACGAGTACTAGTACTAGTAGTATCTACTACTGAGGGTTTCGCAGCCACCAACTCCTTTTTCGGGTTCAAGATTTCGCACGCACCCACTCCTTATAGGGTTCAGGGTTTCGCACCCAGCCATTTCCTTTAGGGTTTGAGGGTTTCGCAGCCACCAACTCCTTTTCGGGTTCAAGGTTTCGCAGCCACTTATTTCTTTTTGGGGTCAGGGTTTCGCACCCACGGTATCACCGCCACCCACCCGCACCCACTCACTCCTTGTAGGGTTTGAGGGTTTCGCAGCCACCAACTCCTTTTCGGATTCAAGGTTTCGCAGCGCAGCCACCCACTGCTTCTCGCAGCCACCAACTCCTTTTCGGGGTCAAGGTTTCGCAGCCACTCACTCCACCCACTCCTTTAGGGTTGAGAGGTTTCGCACCAACCCCACTCCTTTGAGGGTTCAGGGTTTCGGGCCCCGCCCGGCTCCGCAGAGCAGGTGTGCGGGCAAAAGAAGTAACAAAAAGGCAAACAGCGCTTACGCAGAATCCTCGAGACAGTCGTGAAACTGGGGCGTCGATTGCCGTCCTCCGACCATGTGCCAAAGGGTACGCACTTGCGAGCAAAACGAGGCCCCGCCCGGGTCCACAGACCAGGTGTTCTCGGGCAAAGGGATCATTTTGCGCGTGCTAGTATTACTGCTGTTCTTCTTATTACTATTACTACTACTACGACCACCACTACCACTACTACTACTACTACTACTACCACCACTACTAGATAAAACTGCTACTACCCCTACTGAACTGCTGCAATTTACGGCTTTTGAAGCTTGGGAACAGTAGTAATTTGTATTATTGCCAGCGTGTGAGCCTCCAGAAATGTTGGAAATTCTGTTACTAACAGCATTTGAAGCCTTGGAACAGTAGCAATTGCTGCAATTGACACCATTTGCAACAAGAAAGAAGAGCCGTACTCGGCCTGGTTGTTTTTTGACACTTTCTTATGTTTTTGAGCCGGTAAATTTGTGATTTGTCAGTCCGTGTTGTTTTTTGGTCCGGCAGCCCCTGTACCTCACGTCGGATTGCAACAAGGATTTTGGTGCAACCAGCTGTTTGACGGGTTGTTTGGATGCCTACGGCAACCCCGTTGCATTCTTTATTAATGAAACAGCTGTTGGAGAATCGTCATTGATTAAATTTACCGAGGCTTGTCGGTCTCTATGATTTGGCTTGTTCGACTTGTGCTTTTTGCATTTATCGGAGGTCGTCTTGCGGTTTGGCATTCGAGTTTGCCCGACCGAGAAGAGATGCTAGAGCAGACGAAGAGAATGGAGTTGCAAGCCTGCGGGACATGGGCAGCTGCGCAGAGACGCCCCAAAACAAGGCGCTCGATCGCAGTGGGCTCCTCGAAGGCCGGTGCCCCGAGTGGCCTGTTGAAGGAGCAGCCGGATGACCTGACTGACTTTCGTGGATACAGTCAGGTCCCGGTCTCGCAGATCCTCTCTCCAGGCTTCCAGGCAGTTTTAGCCGCGGCAGCCTTACTGCACCTGTTGCAAGCCGTTTTCGACTTGTCAGATGGATTTTGCAAAGGCACTTTTGGAACTTGATCCGGTCAGAGGCTCAGCTTTCCGCAAGTCGTCCGAAGCAGTGGCAGTTAGCTGCAGCTTCTCTTCGGAAAGAGCTGCGAAGCCGATGGCTGGCATTTCTGGGTCCATGGTTCGAGCCTGTGCTGACGACACCAGACAATGCTCCAACATGGATGCCTGAAGCATGGGGGACTTTGGGGACGATGCACCGGATGGGTTCTGGGAGGAGAGGGCCTGACTACACTTAACTCGCCTCTTCCTCCTCCGCAGGCAGATCCAAAACACCTAACTTGGTGGGGCTTGACTTGGGTGACAGGCACAAAACTCTCCCCCCTGATGAAAGAGAAGCAGCGGAGCAGGATCGTTAGTCGCGCATAGTTGCGCCAAGGCGAAGCGCTTTGACCTGTCAGAGATGGTTTTGAAGGCATAGCACCGGTGCCGAGCTCGGCACCACGGAGCCTCTTCTCTTGCTATTCCGGTGCGTGCGATCGGACCCATGCTGTGAGGTCACACGTCGGCACGGGACTAAGCTTGCAAAATGTGTAAGATGTTCGGGAGATGAATCGTAGCTTGCAGAAAGCTTGTGACCAGGACGGAGCCTTGGCACCCACCGACACGAGCATCGCGCTTTATGCGGCCATCTCCGTCAATCTGTTTTTCACACCTTCCATGTCAAAGCCGCGTTGATTCCACTTTGTCCACGTGCCCTTGATACTGGAGCTACATTCGGCTAGATGGGTTGTAAGTGCAGGTGATGCCGTGTGTTGAAGGATCGGGACTGTGGTTCACAGAAGAGCTGCACGGCTCAACACATTAAAGTTTGCATCTGCAGCTAGAAACTCAGAAGTGTCAAAACCTGCTGCGCAAGCACTCGGGTCTTGCGATGCGAACCGGTGCCATCATCCTAGGATGCAGCCTCTTAGCTCCAGTCTGATGGGTTGCGAGGGTCTTTTTGTGCTACGTTTGGGCGGCAGCTCCTACGTCTGAGGGTAATCCGAATGTCATCCAGGTGCTTGTTCCGGATAGATCAGAAAAGCAAAGTCATGTTGTATTGAAATTTCTCGCAAGATGGGCCTGCGTGAAACACTCTTTTGGACTCCGGAGCCTGAATGTCAACCGTATCCTAATTTGAGCTGCCGCCCGAGGATTTTATCACTTGCATTTTTCAAAGCAGCAGGGTCGGCTTTTCAAGAGTTCGCAGCCAGCATTCTATTCCAGACTGCTGTCCGCTGGTTGGCCTAGCCGAGTCTGCAGCAGATTCCTGTTGCCCTTGCACCTGCCGACTGCCCTAACAAATAGTCTACCAGCTGTTTGCACTGCTGGGGCCAAGACGACTTGTCGTTTGCATCAGCGTCATTCAGATAGAAGTCAGAAGACCTTTCAATGTACAGGTGCTCCAACAGTGGCAGGCCACCATGATTCAGTATTCATCCCGGTGTTTCTGACGGGATTTATTTTGAAGGGATGCCGACAAGAGACGAAGGGCAAGAAGATCCCTTGAGAACTCATCATCCGGTGTTTATGTTTCTGAGGAGCAGATTTTCCAAAGACATTTTTAAAGACGCAGAGGTGCCTGCATAGTGCGTGTGCCTTGCGACAAAATCGTGTGTCTGCTCTGTGCGCCCAGGCCAGGGAGGGGGCGGGGACCGTCGCTTCGCGGCTCCTAGCAACTTGAATCCTTGTCCTGTTTTTGTTTTTTTTGGTTTGTTGTTCCGAAGACTCTCTCTCAACTCGAAATCTCCCCAAAGCTGGTAGTGTTCGTAGTTGCAGCCTTGGCAACACAAGTCTTTTGCCTCTCGAAGACGTCGGACGCACGAAGAGCTGACGTTTGAACAAGTGGGCGCATTGAACTGGCTTCGGGCTTTGTTCCCACCAGCCAGTGTTCGTTCCCGGAAGGCCACGAAACAGCACGCAGATTTCCATGCCATGAGAGGCGCGCTTTGCATTGTTGACTCTTGACCTTGAAGCTGCCGTGGCCGGATGGACCGGGGCCCACATTTCAAGCAGTCTCCTTTCCTTTGCCAAGATAACATCTCAAGTCTATACAGTTCAGATTTTCTCGAGAACGCAGACTGCATGAGCGCGGGCGCTTGCCGGAAGTTACGATCCTGCGAGCAAGTCAGATCCGATGTCCGATCATTTCGGAACGAGCCCGAACCATCATGGCCAGTTTCAGGGAGTGTTAAGAGTATTTGTGAAGAGATTGTGAAAAGTGTAGCCCTTGCCTGGGCTGGTGCGCTACTTTACCAGGCCGGGCGTGAGCATGGACAGCGGTGATTCCCACACCTTGCGCAAAGCGCAGGTTCCAACCTTTCGAGGTGCATTCAACGTTGCACATTCCCATATAGTCAGGCGACTGCTAGAGACAAGCGGACTGGGGACTTAGTTTGCCCAAGGCCCTTGCCATTTGTGCGAAGGCAGGGGACGAAGCAAGTGGAAGACTGCTGATCGGCCCTGCCAGCCCATGGCAAGTATCGCACCTTCGACGACTGCAATGTCGAGCAGCCGCCCAAAAATGATGCTTCAGCCTTTTGCCTCGCAAGCTGTGCCGTTTGCGCATCTATCCACTGATGAGCTCGGTCCTTTCGTGTGCTTTGCAAATGCAGGTGCTGGCGGATCTCGCTTGCAGCCTCCGCCGCGTTGGTTCCGAGCATGGTCTCGTGGTCGTGGTCAGCCCGCTCAGAGAGCCAGCTGTCGGGCTGCTTTCTAGAACTTCTCTTCCAGATGCTGGAATCTGAGGTCACGAACCACATGACGACGAGGAGAGTCGGGAAGATGGTTTCAAGCCGAGCCAGACCCGTCACCTCTTGGCTCTCTTGTTTTGTTTGCTTTGCAAGGCGATCCTACTTGTCAGGTTGGTAGCCCTCACTTCCAAGCTAGACTTCTCAAAGTATCATGGAGGTACAGTCTCTCCCGATGTGCCGCAAGGGGAAGACTTGTGCTGCAGCACGTTCATGAAAGTGCAGAGCCGGTCCGTGGCGCGTGGTATGGGTTGGCGGTTGGCATGTGGGCTGCAAGATAAAAAGCAAGAGAGTAAAGGCCCAGCAGAGCAACGAAAGCACGGAGTATCAACGAGTGAAACATGTGCAGATTCGATCGTGGTGGTTCGACGGGCTGGCTGGCTCCTGCTCTGGGAGAGGCCAGCAAAGTCAGCACGCCAGAGTCCGCCCGAACGCAGCTCCTGTCAGCACATGGCCAGACCTGGGCGCATCAGCCTAGCACGCAGCTTCTTCTGGAAAAGACGCGGGAACCTCAGATCATTTTCGGAAGAGGACTTCGGTGAAGGCTCACAACTGCACCGCCTTCAAGACTTGGCCAATGTTGCTGCCGCCGTGTTCACAGAAGCAAGAGGATGCAAGAAGCCAGTTGCTTGTGCAAGGGACAACTGGCAGCAGCCCGGAGTGGGACGTGCAACTCTGACCAAGTCTGTGGAGCAGGAGGGCGCTCGGGCTTGCGAGCTACAGTCCTGCGCAAAGTACAGGAAGAGCTGTTAGCGAGCATCGTTCTAGTTCTGAGCCGTGCAGATGTCATGCGGAGAACATGTGAATCTTTCCGCGTGGAGCATCCTTTCTAGGGCCCTCGTGCAGGCCACGGGTCGCAGCTGCTTGTTTCGCATCGAAAGGGCAGGGCTGCGCGATTGCGGCGGTGCAGTGCTGTGTGCTCAGACCCGCCAAGCTTCCGGTCTTCGAAGTAGAACTGCTGAAGACTCGATAGCGCAGCTGCCATGCGTCGCGAGACTTGCACCTGCTTGGCTTGTTCGCTTGTTTCTGGCATCCCCGAGGTTGCGCGAGCCAATCCTCGCAATGCCCCCGGCTTGCTGGTGTCCACTGCCGAGGGGTCATTGTCGAAAGATGGACTGGTCGATACCCATCAGGCTCTTACATGCTCTCATTCTTGGTCATGGAACGGCAGCATGCAATGTGCCGCGGCTCAGGTTCGCTAGTGTGAGCGCAAAGAAGAGGATTGCTGGCCTAGTAGCGAAGAGACCTGCCAAGGGGATGGTCCACATGTAGAGAGGGCCCGAAAGAGCTGAACTGCTATTGGCTCTGGTTGCACTCTGCGGCCCACATGCGGGGAGGCTGGGCAAGGACCAGAAAACTGGTGTTCCTCTGGCTGATAGGACAGCGCCCCTGCCCCATGCAGTGCTATCCGGATTGCCAGATTTGCCGCAGAATTTCAGGCTTTCCAAGGGTACAGTGCCTGGTGAACCAAACAACTCAAAACTGTCACCATAGTCATGCAGTTTGACTATTATCATAAGTGATGCACTTTCGCAGACGGGAGTAGCAGGTGGTGACTGTGACTGTGTGCCCGCGAACATAACGGATATGCCCACTAGCTCCAAGCAGCAAGAGAGCTGAATGTGAGCCAGATTCCGTGCTCTGCAAGAACAGAACATGACAAAGCCAATAGTAGTGTTCGACTTTTGCTGCTGATTGAAAGCAGGTTGGGTCCTGGTTTCCAAAATGGAGCCCAGCAAACCTGTACCAGCGCTCATGTCGCTTCGCCTGCCCGTGCTCGGGCATCCTTCGGACAGGTGAGAGCCGGCAAACATAAGAGCAGGATAAAAGCAAAGAAGTCTGCCATTTAGGTCGAGAAGACACAAGACGTTGCTAGTTGCTGGAGGCCAACACATGTGGGCGTGGTCATCCTGATATGATCGAGGCTGCCGGATTCAGCCTATGAGAGACACGACGAGTGTGCAACATCTTGGCTTGATTGCATGATCAGCGATACGCGCAGAGTTTTTGAAGTGCCCTGCAAAACTTTACATAGTTCAGTTTTTTGACTGGCCATCTGCTCGTGGCTTGAGGTTTGCTGCCACAGCGCAGACTTGTCAGTTCCGATCGAGACAGCAGTGTTGTCAGCCGAGGCGGGGGTTAGTGCCGGTTGTGCAAGGCCGTGAGTCCGCGAGGTGTGTTGTGAAGCGGACATGACACCATCTCCCAATCCACGCACGCCGAAGATGCGGAATCTGACACGAAGCGAGGGCTGACCACACTGGCGGACATGCAAGGGCTTTCGCCAGCAATGGCGCTGTGTTATTAGTTTCAAGCTCATCGCCCATCCGCAAAATCTGAGAAACATCATCCAACTTGGAACCAGACCAGCTGGCACGTCCGCAGGTCATGTCGGTGCGTAGAGCGAGAGGAAATCAGTGCTCGCCTCCGAGGTCTTACGAGACCTATTGAAACTGTCAGGAATCCGATTCCTGCGTGTCAGTGGCTTGATTTAAGACGGGCTTGCAGTCATGATACGTGCAGATGGCGGCAAATGAAGACTCCAACTCCGACCGGGAAGGGGCGGGGGGAGGTTCGGGGTGCGCGAGGGTCACCAGCCAACGCCCCGAATGTGCCCGAAGACCATAGTCGAAGCTTAGTGTCGGACGTAGTCGTAGCCACGGCCGTTGCTTGTTGAGGCTGGCAAAACAACATGGAACTTGCGGGGTTTGTCAGTGTGTTGTTGCAAGGCAACGCTTGCAATGCCTTGTTTCTGGCATTCTCTGGCATGATTATGCGCAGGTCGAGCTGGACGGCTTCGTGATAGGCTTGGCTTCAGAAGGTTGTTGCAGACCAAATTGTTCATACTTCACGGCACGGGAGATCAATGCCCAGATGTGTTTGTGGGACCGGCTTTCGCTCTGCACACGCGTCAGTAGCTTTGTGGTGAAGGTCGCACGCAGCCATGTGCTGCGCTGAGAGCAGACATGTCAACACTATCAAGACTTCAAAGACCGTACGGTTGAGTGAGTCTTTAGAATGAGGCGGTGCGCAGTCTATACTTCCAGCACAATGTGTCAAGTTACAGGGCAGGATTTCAGTCTTTGATCCTGGCTCAGCGGCGGCAATCGTACCGATCTGTGATGCTGCGGACAGAGATCTAACCTTCTGGAGGCCAGAAGTCCCCCTCCCAGGCTCAGCTCCGGGACCCAGGTCACAGCCCAGTTGGGAGGCAAGGAGCTTGAGCTGTTTGGAGCTGGAGCGTGTGGAGTGTGAGTGTGTGTGCGCGCTGCATCATATGTTTGTCCGCATTCGACAGAACATGAGGTCCTGCTCATGGTCTCAGTGCAGAGTTTCGGCATTGCCAGTCTTTGAGTCCTGCTCCATTCTTGATTCGGGCACGAATTATTTTCAAAGCTATAGCCAGTGCAACATGCTTTCTGATTGTGTATAGGTGCATCTTTTTCTACGCTTATCCTTCGTGCATATGCTGTGAAGGTGTATATTTATATGTATACAGACACATACCTTTACCTGTAAGAGGACTAGTTTTTGAACGATTTGTTTCTGTGTGTGCGCTTTTGCTTTGCTTTCTTGTCATTGCGCTTCTCGGCTTCCGGGCCTTGGCTTCTGGGCTTTTGGGTTCTTGACTTCCGAGGTGTTGTCTTTAAGTTTGGCTATCCTTGGTTCGGCCCATGGACCGGCCGGTCCTGGTCCTGGTCCTGGTCCTCTCGTTCTCTGAACCTCTGCGTCATGCATGCCGGCCATGCAAGCCATTTGTTAAACTGCCCCCCCTTCTGCTCTGTGCGACTGCACAAGCTGTATGTCAACAGGGTGCACGTGGTCTTGTTGTCCGGAACAGACAGTGAGACGAACACTGCGAGGCGTGATAATAACATAGGGTCATCGTGGTCCGCTCCTGTGATGCGCCTTTGATGCAAGCACTTCATTGTCGGGAGGGGCAGGTCGCTTTCTTCCCCCCAACCTCCGATTTCCGCTGAAGCCGGGCCAGAGGCCGAATCCATTGTGGAAGATCTCCTGGGTTGCAGAAGCTGCTATCGTTCATCTTGCAGTTACTTGTGCGAGATTCGCCCTGCTCACTTCGAGACCTTGCTGCGCATGATGGGATGGCTTCTGGGTCTTGTCGTCTCAGTGCAGCCACTGCAGCGGTCGGTATTGCAGTAGTCAGTCAATCGCAGTGTAGCAAAAAGGTGCGGTTTCCATCTCTGTAGGGCCATAGATCAAAGTTATTCAATGAAGACACCGAGATGGCACATGTTGTGGTATTGCCAATGATTGAAAGGTTTCGAACGAATTGCAATCGAAAATGCCGAGCACCCCAAAGCGGGCTCGGAACCCTGGGCGAGCGATTTTCATGGAATTGGCCAGCGCCAAAGTCCTCCAGTTTGCAATCGTGGGTGACTCTGGCAGAACCACGATTTTGTAGCAAACTGCACACCGCTCCACAGCGCAAGCCGCAGAACTGCTTAGGATGCTCTCCTTACCCTCAACAAATACTTAACTGTATGTGCAAATGTGACATTGCTCGCTTGGGGAGAAAGAGTCATTAGTGCATACGGTCCCCAACACAGTTGTTGAGATACAGCAGGCAAGAGAGACGGGAATTCAAGCAGGATGCTGCACCTTTGCACGGGCATCTTGTGGATCTAAATACAATGCACAAGCTGCTTTGCGTGGATAGGTTCGTTCCAATGCCATAGCTTCAGGAGCGTTTTCCTGTGATGGGCACCGGCCGGTGGATGACCCTGCGGGTGCTGGTGCAGCCTGCCAGCCTTGTCGGGGGGGTTGTAAACTGGCGTCTCTATCAAGGTGTTCCGGGCTTTTGCTGGAAGGTTGAAGGTTGGAATGCTTGTTCAGGTGCCACATAGATGTGCTGCCTGTACGAAGGCGTAACTTGATGTTTGTTCCGAGTCGGTATACTACTTCGTGGTACAGCATGTTTTGAGGTCGCATGTTCAGAAGGCAGGGTAAGTAACACAGCAGCCGTGCAAACAGCTTGGCTCAATGAGATGGTTGCAGCAGTTGTAGCCAACTCGATGGCCCAAATGCTTGACTTGCGGGTTGCATCCGCGTTGTGCTGCTTTTTCGTCGCTATCGCAGTTGTATTCAGTGTGTTTAGCTGGGATGACCTCGTCGGCAAGCTGCCGACGAGTGTGATGGGCCTGAGACTTTATGATCAAGGTACGCCGACTACAACGCTGCACACACCACAAAAGTCCGGAGATCCTGCACTGTGCAACGCCTCCTGTCCGTCCATTCGTCCGCTGAAGGCCTGGAAGCCTTTTCTTAATATGCATGTCATGACGAAGGTGCAAGTGCATTGGCCGGGAAACGGAACAAGTGATGTGAAGGAGGTCATGGTGGATGAACCAGTTAAAATCAAGATCGATGGGCAATTCTCGTTTAAGACTGCCCCTAATGTCTTTGCTTGGATCCGCTCGGAGGCTGGAGACATTTTGTACGCTGAGCTTGGCAAACCTAGGGTGCGTACAACTGAGATTGAGGGATGGAATGTGTCCTTCAGAATCATGGATCCCGGCAGGTATATGGTTCATCTTTTTGCTGTGACACCACCTCCACGTGCCAACCGGCTAGAACCCAGAGAATACAGGATCGAGGCCCTGAGTGCCAAACCCCAAGCGCTGCAGGTATCTCAGTTGACTGCTGATGGTCGCGTGTTAACTTCCTTTGATGCGAGCCGTATTCCCAAGCGCCATTGTCAACTGGGTCTGGACGAGATGAGGGGACGATGGGTTCGCAGCACCGTGGTCAGCGAGGCATCTAGATGCCTCAGCTTGGGGTGCCCAAGGGATGGTTGGACATACGTCTCAAGGACATGCTACTGGAACGTATTTAGCAAAGCAGACACCTACAGGCTCCTGGAGATGATCGAGGGAGAGCCCGGGAAGCCCCTTTCCTTGATTGCCGCAGGGAGCTCTGTTCTCCGTGGGAGCCTGCAAAGTCTACTGGACGCCTTGGTTCCGAACGCTTGGCAGAGTTTCGCCGGAGTTAAAAGCATTCCAGGCGTGGGCACGACCGTTAAATGCTGGGGTTGGCTGGAATATGAGGTTGACAGGAAGCTCCATCTAGCCTTCCATGACTGGCGCCTGCCCGGCTACGAGCAGTCTGATCGCAATTGGGCTTCAGCAAGGATTCTGAAAACACTGAAGGAGAATCATGAGATTGTTGTTATTGAGCTCGGCTTCAACTTGCATTCCGACCAAAGCCAATTTGATCATGAGCTGGAGTCTTTCTGGAACCCTATTTTCCAGGAGGTGCTGCCGACTCTGACGGGGAAAGTCATCTTGTTCGCAGGCCTCTACAGCCCTATGAACTTTCCGGTTTGCGTTCAAAAGAAGTGTGCCATCAGTTGGGGGCGAGTTGCATGGGCCCAGCAGAGTATCAACAAGCTAGTCGCGTCCTGGCCTAACAAGACAAGAGAGGCTTCCCAAGGGAAGCTCTTGGTTATAGACCCTGCGCCTATGGCACTGGCCATGTTCTTTGATGGCGAAACAATAATGGGTCAAGACATGTATGGCTCCCAACACTGGCATCGGTACGAGTACTCGCAAAGGCCCGGAAGGAAGGTCTTCGGGACAGTCGCTGACGTGCTTGGTCAACTTTTCGTCTCGGAGCTCCTTCGTGGCAGGAAAGTTAAAGTTAAGGGAAGCCTCCCACCTCGGACGGAGACCCAAACTACACGGGCCTGTGCGCAGTGCCCAGAGACAAGCTGCTGCCCGTGGCGGCCCGTACCATTGGAGTTAAAGTACAGCCTCGCAAAGGTCGAGAGCCCACCACGGTTCGACAATTGGGCCCAGTTGCCCCTTGAAGGCTGTGGCAGAATGGATTCAAAACGTGTGGCTCGATAAAAGAAGGAACGGGACGTGGCTCGGCAAGCGATGGCTGGTTGAGATGCTGTCGCTGTGTGCTTTGGTGTAACGTTCGTAGCGAGCAAGATGCCGGAGGCCCTAAATGCAGAATCACCCTTTCAGACCCACAGGCCCCGACCTTGTCCCTGAAACCTCAAAAGGAAGCACATCGACCCTTCGTGCAATACCTCTTCTGCCAGGACCCCAACATGATCGGCGAGTCCCGCTTCGACCTCCAGGCATAGGGAACAACGCGCGAGCGCAAGTTCAGGAAGAGTGTCAGTTTTTCACGCCTGAGGCTTTCATCTCGCAGCAGAGGGACGGTCGGAGACCCGCTGCAAAGACGGCTTCCGCTTGTCGCAACTCCCTCGATCTGGAGACAGTTCTCGGGCTTTCTGAGGCCAAAAGCAAGCCTCGTCTCTGCTGCGTGGTGAAGCCCTGGTCCGGACCCGACCACGACCATGGGGTTTTTCTGCCCGCGACATTTTCGTCCATGGGCCGCAGAACTGTCGCTCCGAAGGTCGGAACGATCTGGGCCTCCGTTCAACCGCTCTCTTCGCCTTCGCGTGCCAAGACGGCAGCAGCTCGGTCGCACTCGGTGCCCGTGTTTTGGTTCTGTGTCCTGTGTGCGAAATAGGTATTCGACTCACCGCCCTAGTGCTGGAACGCAAACTGGGGTCTTGGAGCCCGGCTGAGGGCGAAGCTCCGACGCTGAGCCAGCAGCTACAAATCTTGAGTCGGAGTCCAAGAATTTCTGGCACAAGCGAAAGGCTTCGGCTCTGCAGAGGTTTGGAAGGCAGAAGTTCGATTACTTGTAGCGAAAAGCATCCTGCAGTTGTCGAGGAGCTGAATGCACGCAACACCTGCAATCTGAGGGCAAGGCTCGTCATCATCGCAGTCTCCTGGCTCTAAGATGTCGAACGGATCGCAGCTGCGCTCGCCGGGAAGGCTTAACTTCACGAGCAGTCGAGGCTTGTAAGAGGTTCGCAGGCACGGTTGATGCATGACAGGCGCCTCGGCTGCATTGCCTTTCCTTCGCGGGCTCAGGCCTCAGCCTCCAGGTGTCTCTCGCAGCCATCCTCAGTTGCCCCAGCCAGCTTTGTTCGTTAGGCCGGTCAGAGGAGTCCTATCCCCTGTGGAGGCAGGTCCATCAGCTGAGGACTTCGAAACGTCGCGACATCACGGCCTGGCGGCGTCGCGTTTTCTTTGTCAGGCTCTGCTCCTCGGGTCTCCAGCCCCAGCCCGGTGATGCGAAGCAACACTTTGCTCGAGGACAGATCCACTCCCATCCCCCTAAGATCCCTAGGTGCAGCTCGAATGCCTGGAAACTGACGATCAGAGAAACTTCAGGAGGGTTGCATCGATTTCAGTTTCGGCATCTGCCAAGGCGACCACAGACCGTGCAATCATGTGCAATCCCTAATCCCGGTGAACAAGTTCTGAGCCAGCCTAATATGGCACTGGCATCACGTCCTCGTATCCCTCCCATCTTTTTTCGGCCCCTAGGATTCAGAGCTTTGGATAGCTTTGGCACGCATCGACAAGACATCCATGACCATCCGTGCGTCATTGATCTTTTGTGTGTAGGACATAGGCTTATCAAACACATCAAAGACATAGGGACTTCAAAGGTTCCGAAGTATTGGTAGCAAAGGTTTCGCGGCTTGGCTGCTGCAGATTTGGGAAGTTTTGATCAGAAATCCAGACGTTTGATCAGAAACCCAGGGTTGAACTGTTTTGAGCCCTATTGGGTTGGGCTCACTGATATGCCCGAATTGCATGTCAGTCTTCACCATTACGTTTGGCCTGGATGGACATAGTGACATAGTGGTCGGCAATGACGGGGAGCAGAGAAAAAAGGTTACAGTATTAGGACAAGATGTCCGAATGTGGACATATGGACCAGAAACTCCACGCCTGCGCATCTTCCCTCTTCGACACCAACGCATTCCGCGCGAGCCGCACAGCATCGCGCAGCCAAAGAGCCTAGAGGGGCGATTGGGTGGAAACAGTGGTTGGCCGCGCGGAGATGAACAAACATTAGGGCGCGGTTGCAAGGAGCGGCGGCCAGCACCACTGGGTGCGGCGGTTTTGACCGCCGCTGGGACGCCCCAGGCGCGAAAGCTCTGGTCGCAGCGGCTATTCGTGTTTGCAAGGGCTCAGAGCTCTTGAAAGCCAGCGTCTTGAAAACATACTCTTGGTGCAGGCGAGCGCCAGTGGAACGCCGGGAACCTCTCGTTTTAAGGACTGCTTCCCACGCTTCCTCCTTTCTTGGAAAGTATGCCTCGGAACTGCTTCAGAGCATTTTGGTTTGGCCTCTCGACCTCTTCGCCTTTTGATGCCCTGAATCTGTCAGGCGAACTCGGACCTTGACAGCGCCAGGCACTCCCAGATCTCAGGACACTCCTTGCTGCTGCCGGCTTCTTTGAGCGGGCCGGTCCTTCATTCCCCTCCCCCTTGGCCCTCCTTCCGAACTTACAGAGTGTCTGAGTTCCTTTGTTTTGTAGTGTTTGCGGCAACGTATGTCCTGTCCAAAACATACTTGTGCAGAAAGCGCCGAAGATAAACGGACTGTTCCCTTCTGCTCACACTTGACCGCTGAGGCAGGTGGCAACAAGCACACAAATGATCTTCGAAATTGAAGAGGCATCATGATGAAAAGCCAACAGCACAGACATAGAATTCCAAGAGTATGGAGTAGTAAACCGACACTTGCCGCTAAAAGGGTTTGCCGTAGTCTGCAACAAGCTCTTTACATGAAATGTATAACTCCGCATCGCAGGAGATGCAGTGGCAGCTACTTCAGAACCTTGCTTAGGCTGAGAGCCAAAACAACACCACAGTAAGCACACAGACAAAGTCTGCGACTGCTAGATTGCCGTATTTTATAGGTCCTGCAGCAACGTCACTCGCTACTGACTCAAACTTTCCTCTCGAAGCGGAAGCCTTCTGGCCTGTGAGATCCTCAGGAGCGAGCCCTGCATCAGCCTCCACGGCAAGAGCGAGCCCAAACGCTCCGCGCCCCGCTAGGCCTCACTTTAGGATTCTTTGGGAAATTTCGGTGCATATATGAGGCGACGAGACTTTTTATCCAGGGTGGGGAGCGGAGATGGCGTGGTCTTCGAACTTTGCTACGCTTGCCGTTTCATCCCAATCATCTCCAAGTCTGCTAACGTCGATCTTCGAGACTTGAAGCTCTGGGATCCCGAGAACCCTAGAGCCTGTCTGTCGTGTCTGTGCAGGTCGCGGTCGACCCTTTCTGCTGGCTCCGAGAAGTCACCAGGCGCGCCAGGAGGGTCTTCTGTTGTTTCCGGGAGGTCTGAAAACTTTCAGGGATCGTGATTTTTGCGAAGGTCCGATTCGGCAGGTCTCGCTTGAAGCGAGGTTCGTTCTTCAGCCTTGCGACGCGGGATCGGCCTTTATTTCCGTACAGCTCTTTCCTGTACCGATTCTGCCTTTTCGCTTCTTCGCTTGCAGTCTGGATGCAAGACCTGTGCATTTACGCTGATGGGAAGTGCTTGTTCCGTGGCCGACTGCCCCTCGAACTGCTACTGTAGCTCCACAGACGAGGCTCCAGGCTGAACTTCACGGAGAAGGCCCAAAGAGACTTGGCCCGGCCCTCGGACAAGCGGAAGTTAGCGAACAGGTTTCCTTCAGTACACCGTGCTGCCGTGAGTTCACGGGCGCAGCCCTGACTCGCGCGATCCAGTTGTAGAAGACTCGTAAAGCCCTTTCCTGTGCGCACGACGGTATCCTCTCCTGGCCCTGCACAGATCACAGCCTCTTTTTCTTGCCCGTTTCAAGGTGGAGCTCATGCGGAGCAAGGATCGGCTGAGGGCATATGCGGAGAGGCCCTTCAAGGCCCGGCCGGGCTTCTGGTGGAATCCGGTCTCGGGCCGTTTCGATTGAGGGCGGCACCCCGCCTCTTCGCAGGCCGGGCGCGCGTTGCTGGCTGGAAATCGGCTGGGCTTCGAGGAGTCTTCAACCCTGCAAGTCAGGGTTCCCATCGTCGTGGTGAGAAAAGTCCATGAACCTGGACCGTTGCTGCACCAATGCAAAATGGGTCAAGTGATGGTAGAGCTGATGGCAGGTGCTGAGACCTCCCTCGTTGGATTTACCGAGTCAGTAGCCGTTGCAGTGTCGCTGTGGCTGCAGCTGCGGCGGGTGCTATGGTTGTTGTTGTTGGATCCTGCTGCACGGTGCTGCATGCTGATGTTCATGACAATGATGACGGGATGATGCACACAGCAATGGACAATTTCATAATTTTGCATGCAGTTGGTACTTGCCGATTGACAGTTCCACGTGGGCCAGGACTTTCAGCAGGCTCTGCGGGAACTGCTCCAGGCGTGGAAATGTCTAAAGATGTGTCTTTGTTTATTGGAGCCTTTTGCTCTGCAGGAGCTTCACATCAGCGTGCCAGGAGACAAGCAGATGCAGGCCAAGAGCTTGTGAGCCTGAGCTCGATGCCTTCCAAGATGGAATCTAGGGCTAGCCAGGGGGCCTGCAGAATACTGCAGTTACTACGGTCACTTCGAGCAGCCGATCGGTTTCAGGCACTCTTTGACAAGCACCGGGGCGAGAACGAAGGCACAAGGAGGAAAGGGGAGGCGTCGGACATGGACCTTCCAAGCGAAATCCGGAGGCGTCAGCTCTGAGGACTTCGAGGCTCTCCTCTTCCGTCTCTTGCTCGGGCCTTTGCTCGGTGGTACTCTCGAGTTCAGCGTGTCTCGTAGAGCTTACGAAGTTCCTGCTGCAACTTTGCAACAGTGGCAGTCTCCCGGACGATGTTGCACAGGGTGTCATTCCGTCACATCAACTCTGCAGATCACGCTCACCTGCAGAATGCACTCTTGCCCCTGCAAGCCCCGCTCGTAGAAATAGTAGCTGCGCCTTGCCTTCTGCTCGCCAAGTCCGCCACCCCTTTCCCGAGGCGTAGGAATCTGAAGTGCTCATATCCAGCTCGCGATCTTGACCTTCTACCAACCCCTCCGGCTGACCTCTCCTGTGCGCATCATTGAAGAACCGCGAAGAAGACCCAGGTGCTTCCTCCGGGCCTCCGAGGAAGTTCGAGTGAATCCTGGTGCCGATGCCCGCTCCTGCTCGGAGGAGCGGCAAAATGAGACCCGACGCCACATGCCTTGCTCCTTTCTCCGTATTGCTCGCTGCATCGCTTCAGGAGAGGGACAAGCGGTGGAGGCAAGAGTTCATCCAGAAGAACCCACAGAGGCCCGTCCTGGAGGGGTGGTACGAGTCGAACCACGCTAAATTTCAGCTTCAAGTCGCAGCCTTCAGCTTCTCACCCGTGCACTGCGCGTGCAGGTTTCACGACGTGTACGAGGCATGGCGAGAGTGTGGTGCTAGACCATTGTCGCCTCACGGTTGTTCTCAATAGCAGTCGCCACATCATTGACTGTCATGGTGGGAGCTTCGTGATGCTTCGTGCATGGCCGATGATGTTCGTCCGTAACGGCTCGGCGGACAAGCAGACTCAACGCTTTGCATTCAAACAAGTAGGTTGG